ACCAAGGTAAAAGAGCTTGTTATTTGGTCTGGCCTCGCGCATTCCGCAACAACAGCGACAGAAGAGGACTCAGATATTATGGATACTGGGATGAGCAGTCTCCTTTCTCCAAATTCTCTCAACTGATTGCTTTATAGATTCATTTTAGCGGCCTCCGTAGTCTAGGGGTAACGTACCTACCTCATGACTCAAGGTACGCGGGTTAAAACCCGGCGGAGGTCATGGAATTTTTAAGGGCGGAAAAATACAAGGAACAAGTCCTCCGGGAGGGACTTTAAGCCGTGGGTCCCGTGTCGTAGCTTTACGGCACGTGAAAGATCCTCATGTCTCTAGGAGACCTCTGAGCAAAATTATTAGGTAAAAAGTTTCCCGCCCAAGTAGTTTCCAATGCCTCCGGTAGATGTCTAAGCATCGGGTACCGCAGCCAGCCTCACTGGCTGAACGGGCTGATAGTGAGCACCAGTACCGGCAGGGTATGGAAACCGGTAGAATATTAAAAGGGGACGTACAATAGACTATTAGTCGCGGTGCATTGGGGAAACCCACCCCCTCCAATAATAATAATAATAATAGATTCATTTTGAACAACTGCCGTCTCGGTGCCGAAACTATCGTCTCTGCTACGTATTCAGGGGGCCCCGGATGGGCTCAGCAAGTTCGAATCACGATTATTATGTAATATCTACTATCCTCATGCTTTTCACAGGATATGCTGGTATAATGCTCTGATGTGACGCTCGAAATTCGGAATAGTGAAATAAGAGGAAACGTCCATTGCTAGCCAACTGATCGTTGAACGTATTTCCGCGGCAACAAATATACAAGCAACAATCGAATAAATTCCGTTGCCACGCAACGGCCCTGTAAACACGCTTTCGAAACAATAGATGAAGCGGAGTTTTCGGTAGGTCAGCCTTGATGCTATGTAATGATCATTTCACGCGGCTAGAACCGGACCCAGTGTGGAGGCGGGATCGAATACCTACACCGTGACCCTGCGAGTCGTAGGAGGCGACGAAAAGGGACGTTCCAAATCTGAGACAGTAAAATATGGTCGCGAGTCTCAAGGGACTCGGATCCGAAAGACTGCGCTGGGAAGGACCAGCGGCATGTAAAACAGACAGATCCGTCCTCTTGTTAGAGAGGGCGTCCCATAAAAACAAGACCGTGGCTGTCAAACAGTAATAAATATCTGGTCATTAGTCCCAGATAGGGCTCGATACCAGGACTTACTGATTGACTGATCGTCAGTAGCAATGTGACTTTCACTTTGACTTTGACTAGAACCGGAATTGAGTCGAGTTCCGAAGCTGGCAGTTGCAGCATAGAATTGGGTTGAGTTCTGGAGATGGCAGTTGCAGCATAGAATTGGGTTGAGTTCTGGAGATGGCAGTTGAAGGCGATTGAGAAGAAGTGGCAAGAAAGGAATTGGACTGTACCAAGAAGACTTCATGTGTATTGCAGTTACAGCGAGAGTGGCATAACTACTGTGCGGAAGTCCGTTGCCAGGATACGACTATTGAAGACTAAGAATCCTAGTGAGTGTTGTAACGGTGAACTGTAAAGTGTGCAGATCAGGGATAGCTCTATAATTAAGTGTAGTCCCGAGTTGAATGTATAACGTTTCAATAAATCCAGTCATTAAATCCAAAACCAGTCTATAATTCACCCGCAAATCCCTACACATGACAGTACCTCAAAACAAACTAGTGCCACTTCATTCAGTGAAATTTTTTGTCCATCATTCACCTTCTATTTAACGCTAAGAATTATGCTGTTAAGAAAGCGTCATTTAGGAAACTACGAATGAATCTTTGCTTTTAGTGTCACCTCAACGTGCAGTAATAATGACCCAATGAAATGTGAAATGCGATCACAACTGAGTTCATTAAGACGCCAATGACCTTGGAAACATTCATTGTCCAACTGTGTAAAAAGATTTAAAATATTTCACGCCTCTTGGCATCACACTGAGTACTACAATAATTAAGTGCTATGTCACTTGGACGTTGGGATGTAGGTAGCGGACTTGGTGGTTTATAGCGAGAGGAGACTACAGACAGAGATATATTACTGTCAGCTTAACATCAGCGTGGTTGCATTGCTATAATCTTACTCAGTCGGCTGTAATATACAAAAGCATTACACCAGTTGAGTATAAACTAATCTCAATAATGACTTCTTTCAAATCGATGAAATTNCATACCATTTTCACGTTGCAGGTATACACAAAACATAGGAAGAACGACTCCCATAGCGGAAGATTGATATAATACGCGAGTTTGAAATGCGACGTATAAGATGATAAATCTTAACAAAAAATTTAATATATAAATTTTATTATAGTTCATGACGAATATACATTTTAAATCATTTTATAAATGACACATGATGGCGAACAGTGCAATAGCTTAGCGTAAATAACACACCTGAGGATGGCACAGTGATGCCGAAACATGTAGTGAAGTGACAAGTGAGATTGTGTGCACTAGAAGACGGTCAATACATACTCATCATGGAATAATAATTCAGTCCTTTATATTAAAAGTAATTTAATTCCTTAATTTGTATGTTTACCAACAGCTAATATCCTATAACAGACGAGCACTATAAATGCGGAACGCTAAACTGAAAGCTGAAATAGGTATGATATTAACAATTTAATAGCTTCAGTGAATTAAGCAAGATGGCTGAAGGAAAATGGTAACCTCAAAGGAAATAGCGTTTTGACAGAAATCATCTACAGATGTGGTGATGTTGCCTGCAGGTGTAGAACACCCTGTTTGAGGATGGGCTTTGGAAGTGTTGCTCCTGTTGAAAGTGGTGATGTGTCTCATTTACTTGAAGGGCAATGATATGAAGAGTATAACTGAAAAAGTAGTTGATTATTTACATGGGAAATTTTAAGAAATAAAGTATGAAATAACACGTGTCTGAAATAGAGTATTATAATGTTTAAACGATTAAAAATTACATTACATTCGGGAAGAAAGTAATGCAAAAGAAAAAGTAAATAATGGAAACTTTAATATACGTACTTATAATGAGAACAAAAATATAATTTACTATTTCACACAAACTGAGGTCTTTCATACAGCCATTGCATGCAACTAAAATACAATATACATATAAACAAAGCATCAATGAAACTGGATGCTCTCCGGTTCACGAGGTAAATGAATGCATTGGTTCTTGGTATGTTGCTTTTCATATAATTTTGAATGAATTGTACCTGCACCGAACCAATAACAGACTTTAGCCATTTTCAATTTTCATCAGGCATTATGTCACTTTATGCCGGTCACGGTAGCCGAGCGGTCTAAGGCATGCACTGTCTTCGCTCTTTCGGAAGCCGGGATCATGGGTTCGAATCCTATTCAGGGCATGAATGTTTAGTGTTTGTGTATGTGCGTTTTTCTGTGTTTGTGTACAGATAGAGGCCTTGCAACGAGCTGATCACCCGCCCAAGGAGTCCTACCGAATGTTTAAGATCTAGTAAACCGAAGTGAAACGGAGATTTTAATGGAGGTAGGCCTAGGCTCAAATTGGGGCTGTAGCGCCACAGGAAAAAGAAAAATTATGTCATTATATAATTTTAGATCATCAGAAAATAATAATTCAGTTTAATCAGCACCAGAAGCTTGGCTGAGATCACAACGAATGGAATCAACCTGCTTTTATGAACAAATATGAAATGTAGCAGAGTTTAAGGAAACAATTTAATTAATTACAGTAGATTTTGATTTAATGAAGCCGTCCTGAGGTGGCTACAGCTGAAATGTTAACCAAAAATAAAGCCTAAGGTATAGAGTAGTTTTAAATATATTTCAAACAATGTATTTAAAACTGTAAGAGATATATACCTGGTCACCGGAACACTATTAATTACCCTTCTTAAAAATAAGCAGAACAAGTCGATTGATTCCATAACGAAGGAAAATTCAGACCGATGCACTAACGTGAACTGAAACCTCCAGTGGCACAAATGAAACCAGACTTGGGAAGGAAATTTGAGGTACATTTATAAAAAAGTGGAAACACAAATATTATAATTGTTCTGAATATCCGTAGAGGAGGAAGAATTAAAAAATAGAACAAAATGCACCCCCCAAAATTCTGAGCGATAAACTTCGGCTCTGTTCTAATATATTCACGAATTATGAGTTGAGCAGAATTAATAGGATTTCTTTGATAACACGAATCCAGTAAGAAGCGAATAATATATTGCAAAACATGTGGTATCGCTTTGAGCATAATTGTAATGGGGGCATCCTAAAGCTATGCTAACTGTACAATAAGTTATGCTTTTGTGCCAGAAATGTAAATAATGAATTTTTGTAAACCCCTCAAAGATGAAGCAGGAACATAGTTTACATTCTGCGAATTTGGCTTGAAACAATACTAGGCATACACAGAGGGGCCCAAAAATATACACAGACTGGCCCTCCACATTTTTAGATATCCTGCCGTTCATTAATCTGGCTCTGACATTTATATGATTAGCACCATCTTTTGATAGAATATCACACTACGCACCGTATATTATATTGGAACCCAACTTTGACATTATCCGTAAGTAACCTCCATCAAATTTGTATATTTTTTTTTGGCCCTCTCATTTTATGGGCCCCTGTGTTAGCGCAGAGAAAATTCGTCATCACGCACTTTTTCCTCAAACCCTCTGAAACATTTCCCGTAAACCCGGTCCTCCAAGATATTCGCGCAGAGCTGACCAGAGCTATGAAGTTCTCTATCTGTATTCGGGAGACTTCGAATCTCGTCTGAGCTGCTTAATATTGGTTTCTGCGGGATTTTCAGTCTCTGCAAGTAAATACGAAGATAGTACCTCCAAATAGGGCACGGCCACCTGCTGATTGTTTCACGGCTGCTACAATCACACGTAGCCCTGCAGCCTGTACGGAGTGGGGATGCTCCCATGCATATCATAACGTAGCGGAAATTCCTTCAGATTCGAATTGCGAAGGGCAAGACACACTTACCAGATAGTCAATGCTGGCGCTTCTGTAACTGACTGCGCAGCCAACAGCCTCGAGCTTGCCCGCCCCAGAGGCCCCAGAGCTGTCGTGCTGCGCGCCTTGCAGGAGGTCCTCCAGAGATTCGATATACTCGATAGCGTTCCTCAGGATCTCCACTTTGGGGAGCCGCTGGTTAGGGTTCGTACACGTGCGTCGCTTCAGCACCTCGAAGGCTTCGTTCACCTGACAGACGTTACAGAAATACATGCAGTAGAAACATGTAATATGGCTTATCCCTTTGTAAGATAGATAGAATGAAGGGTCACGTTTGACATCTACATAATTATAAGTGATATTATGATTATTATTTTAGTCTTTAGGACTTTAAACATGAAGCAGGAAACAGTTCCCAGATTCAATGGATGCATACCGGTATTTTCACCTTCTGATTTTAAATAATTTACTTTCTTAAATACAAAATTTAAATATTTAGTACATGGTTGTAGTCACGCCCATTAATTTTTAGTGCGTTATTTACTTAAAGATTTGCAACAGGTCACAATTTGTGCTTTTTCTGAACCAGACGTGTCCGTTCTACTCCCTTGTATCCTACTTCCCGTGATACACTTCAGTACCTAAAATAATTTATCGCACATAGAATGAAATACAGGCTTCACCTAATTAACTTATAAACTTGGTGTGAAAACAGACAGTGAACAGAAGAAGAAAGGGGAATTTTATGGAAGTTTTCAAAATAGTAATGCGAATTGTTTCACACTTCTCAAATCTTTGATTGGACGTTAGGCCTATTATTGCTTCTAAGCGTGTAGAAAGTTGTCGAAATGCAATTGTAGAAAATTCTACATCATTTCAATCCGTTTAGTTGTATTTTTCTTAGAAACAAACGGGTCTAGCTTTCAATTACGCTTAACGATTTATCATTCAATTATCGCTAGAATTGCAAACCACTCTACTAGCACAGAACGAGGTTGGACTAAATGCTGACGGAGCAGTAATTATTAGCTGTAACGTCGCCCTTTATTAACTATTTACTTCTGTCATTCGTATTAACCTATACTGTAGGTAAAATTATCCCTGTGCTTAATTAACCACCATGCAGTGAAGACGTGTGTGGGAGTGGAAGTCTAGCTCCACGCATTCTCAACCTCGGAACTAAATAGATGTGAGTCATTAGATTTATGTCCGGGTCACTTTGCCCCCGGGCAGAGAGCTTCCATTGTCCACTAGTTAGGAGACCGGATGTGCCTCAGAATCTCTTTGAATGCTTCGTGGAAGAGAAAAATCTTTGCCTCTGTCGGAGATCGAACCTTGGTTATCCTGTCTTCCAGATATAGTCACGCTCTACCGACTTAGTTGTCCCAAGTCCCAAATATGTGTTACAGACCATATTATCCCACGTCCCTCTTGTTAATGGAGATTTTCACTCATGTTAGCTTTGGAGGCAACTGTTTCCGATTGCCACTCGCTGCTGCATTTTGCAGCTCGGTATGAGTAAGTAACGTCCCCTACGAATGGCGTTTAGTGCAAGTGGTAACATCTTCCGCATATCAGGCAGAATTTACGAAATCTTCTCATATCGGAATATATTTTTAATAATGTTACACTTGTACCTTTCTTGTAGACCTGTTTAAAATTACCTATTCAATCATTGATATAAATTAATAGTTATTTAAGAAGGTTTAGAATTTCTAAATTCTCTCGCAAGNGAAACCGAAGTACTCGGAGAAAACCTGCCCTAACGCCACTTTGTCCATCAAAAATCCCACTCGACAAGACCAGGGCTCGAACCCGGACCGCCACGGTGGGAAGCCAGCGACTAACCGCTTGATCTTTGGCACGGTCGGGCTGCCCATTCTTACCTGGGAACAGCGTTGTCTACCATCCGTTCCCCCCTTTCTTTTCAACTTGCGTGATTCTTAAACATTTCTGTAGAGATCACGAGTATTTTACAGCAGTACTCTAAGCAGGGCCTGTTCTCGTTAGGTTTTTGCAATGTTACAGTTAGCTGTGCAAAGCTGTACTGTATTATGGGGTGTATCCTAGCTTGTGACGTAAGCGTGATTAATCGTACATCCTTGCCCCTCTCTAAATATCTCATGACGCAATATATACAAATCAATAGCAGATCAGATGTGGCTGTCGCATTTAATAATATTTGCACACAGATATTTCCAATAGAAGTATTACTGAAAATCCGTGCCTCTAGAGCACTTCACTTGCCTATTCTGTCATTACAACAGGGTTGTCCTTGTGCCTAAGAAATCGCGACAAAGACTCGTGGATGTCACGGAGGTATATCTCTATGCATTCTACACTGCTACCCTAGATAGAAATGAGTTGTTAGCGCCACGCTTCGCAGGAAAATCATATATTGTGCGCATTGTATAGAAGGTCGTATGGTCGTAGTTGCAAAGAGAGAAATGTTTCTCTTTCCGGGAATGTAACGCCGGCCTGCCAACTCTTATACAATCTGTTGGATTTAATGTACTCTTAGCGGGGTTATGAAGAGTCCTACTGCTTGGGATATAACGCCGTGTCTTCGATAGAAAGTCATTCGACGTTTCGGAGGAAATGTTGCCTCCATCTTTAGGATTGAAGGGTAAGCCAAGAAAGAGACCACTATGAAGCAGACTGCTAGCCAATTTATTTCTTTGTTTGCTCTTTAGTACTGAAGATGGAGGCGACATGTTCTTCCGAAATATCGGTTGACTTTCACCGGGCTACACAGCGTTATATCCCAGAACATAGAACTCTTCGCGTGGGTTCTGATAGTGACTGAATCAGCCCTGCTCTTGAGTCATATACAGAACGTTTGAAGGATTATTACGCCCTTTTCTCCTGAGACGATGTACTCGTCATACCCAGGATGGAGTGTGAGACAGAGAAAGCATGAGAAGTAGACTGGCTGTCACCGACTTGATCTTGTCAGCACCCGTTCTCGTATATGCAGGAGCAGAGAGAGACAGAGACAAAAGAGCTAAAAGTTTGTGTTGGACGTTTTTCTCTCTCTTTTCTCGTCTACGGTGGTGACGGTGGTGGCGGTGATAGCAGCAGCAGCCACTAAACCTGTCAGCGAGGTTCGACAATTAGCCACATGTCAATCCGAAGCTCAGAAACCATGCTACCGGGCCAGCCCCTGCAACCAGACTTGAAACACGCTCCAGATGTATCCAGCTACCTACTGCTTTCGAGATGTCTTGAGTGACGTCAGTAAACTCTTCAAGTTAAGGAACCTTAGGGAATCTCCCTCACACGGCGACTAAGGGCCGGGGAATCGAGACGCGATCCCTGTCGGGGTTCTCACCCTCACAGGCGACTCTGCTTCCTACAGCACCCCAAAAGTTTCCCCGTTCATGGTCGTTGTCGGATATGACAGTTTATGCGATACATTTAAGTAATAAAGCAACCACTCATTATGTGCATCCCCAGAAGAATCAAATTGGCGTCTGATTTCTATTCTAGAGTTATCTGGTTCAATTCTCTGTCTCCTGTTATTTGTGATTCTCTTAATTTGACAACTGAGGCCCTTGAAATATACGGATCCGCTCCCTTCAATTCTAATATTCGTAACCATGCCACATATCATCCGATGCTAAGTAACTTCTTACTTACTTACTTATGGAGATGAGCCCTTCTGGAGGAGCCGCAAATTCTGCAGCTACTCAAGAATTTCCCAGCATTTTATGGAACCCAAATGTTCATTACCGTGTTTGCAAGAGCTCTCCACTGGTCCCAATCCTGAGCCAGATCAATCCAATCCATACCATCCCATCCTATCTCTCTAAGATCCATTTTAATATTGTCCGTCCAACTACGTCTTGATCTTCCCAGTAACTTCTGCACGTCGTAAAACGCCATTAAACAAACATTAATCGTTATGTACATACCTTGCGCAATCTTCTCCTTTCTCTCAACGTGGCTGCTTTCCTGCGGTCCACTGTGACTGTCTTCTTCTTGCATGCTTTGCACGCCCATAGCAAGCAACGGCGCAGCCCATGGTGAGGGTGAGAGACTTGGTGGTCTCCCTGCGAGGAGGCCGCGCCGTCCTCACTCCCTTGCAGAAGCGGCAGGGGTGCCAGGACGTGGGGCACGTGTTGGTCCTCTGATGACTCGGACTGGCCGCCTTCTTCATCATCGCCTTCCTCGTCGTCAATTTCCTGTTGTTGGCCCGCCCCATCCTCTGGCACAGCTTGCTGGCCACTGGATCTGCAACAGCAAACGGCTTAATGATTGTGTCACCCTGAAAAGGGTCTGGAATTTTGAACAGCGGACCACTTTCTGATTCGATGTCATATCTGTCAATATACCTGACAGATTACTTATTCTCTGAAGGTAATAAAATATTTTTGACGATATTTCCTAGATCCCCATAGTAAAAGTTTTGGGCGAATGGAATTTTGTTTAGTATACTCCGCCTTCTATGGGAAAGATGGTGCGTTACCACAAATTAGTGACGTAGAGAATTACATTACCATTAGATAGTTACTGTAGTATACTTTCTACAAACTTCCGATATTCATATGCCGCTGGGAAATTCAAATATGCTTAGGCAAGGCTCTTCTCTCATACTGTGTAACGTGTCCTCATTCATAGACGGACTGTATCTTCCATACGTGTTCATCCCGTTCCTTACATGTAACTCAAGACTGACGGCATAAGCATAACCCAAGTTATACTTATAGAATGCAGTACAGCAAAATTCTCCAAATTTTATCCGAAATTCTTCGATGTGATTACTGTTTTGTGGAATAATAACTCCGTGGCTTTTAGTCCGCAAGCGAATTATACCGACAGAGCGACCGCCTCTTGTCGGGAAGTAAGTACCACCTTTTGCTAATAGATGATGTCGCTTGGTCAGCGCAACGGATTCCCACGGCCGTTAATCTCGGTTTTCTAGAACGGAGCCTCTACTTTTCCATTCAAGTAGCTCCTCACGAGACTGAGTGGACCCCGTTGCAAACCCACTACTTCTCAGAAAATCTTGTGACGCCGGGAATCGAACACGCGGTCTGTTTTGCAGAATAATAGAAGAGAATAATTTCTAACATCTTGTCTCGTTGTTTGTTTCGCGGTCGTTGCCTAGCAACCGGTCTGTATGTCACAGCATTATAAAGTTCTACACGTTAGACTATAAAAGTAATATAAATATAAATATAAACCACTGCACAATCATTATGTAACTGAATATGCAAGCTGTGAACTTGGATACTTGCGGAAAAGCAACCACATCTATACCAGGGTGGTAAATGTTATGGAATAACCTGTTTGCCAAGTAGAAGTATTCTGTGAAGGTCTGATAATGGTCAACACCGCAGTGCAAGTTCAGGTACATACCCCACTTCCGTTTATTGCAACAATCTTCTTTCTTTTTCGCAATTTTGGCTAATATAATTCACATAACAACATTGCCATGTGTAGGGAGGGTACGCGTGACGAAACTAACGGATTATAGATAGGATGGATGGAATTATTAGTGTTCCTTTGCAGTTACACTCAATTCTGACAGCTCACAATCACTGACTGTCTACGACTCGCTCCATTCCTGACTGGACCACGAGCGCCTTCTCTTCTGCTATGACGAATGAAGAATTCTTGATCACACCTTGAACTGCCTTGAACGATGTCTTTCCCTCGAAAGCACACAAATTCACTTCTGACTCCTTGCTTTGGTCTATCAGCTCTCAGAGCCAGAGTCAGACTTACTTTACGTCTGGATGTTTGCAGCCAATCAGCCCAAAACTTGCGGTTGTAGTCCTTATGTAACATCATCTCTAACGAGAGGATGGGTCTGTTGTTTACAATCGCTGCTGGTCCTCGCCAGCGCAATCATTCTCAGATCTGTGTCCCACGGGACGTCATGACCACATTTTAGTGTCTGAGATTCGGGATCCCCCCAACCTGGAGGGCAAGGTTCCCGTATTTATATCCGTCAGGAACACACATCTGATCTGGCCTGGTCTTACCTCCCTTCATAGCTTCCGGAGAACCGAATAGAGATCAAGGCTTTCCAGGATTTCAGTACTGTTAGAAGTCGTTATACCATAGACATGCTTTTGTCACAACTCGGTTGTACCGGAAACGCGATTATTGAAACTTTCCATACCAAGGAACCGAAGTTCTATACTAGATGACTGTGTTTACATTGCAAAGTGTACCTCTGTTGGCTACGTAACCTAGCAAGTGTGTTTGCCGAGCTGTTGCCTAGCTACACACGTTACAATACGAATATAATAACAGGTGTCAGGCTATCTCTTCACACATTATTTCAATTGCTAATGCTGCTTTTTTAAAATGAATGTATTTAGTGGTGCTAAATGTTGTCCCTCTGTTATCGAAACAGTCGGCATTCGTGTTCCTACCTTGAACATACGTAAGTTCACATGTTTAGTTGCTCCTTCAGCGTGAAGTGATTCTGCTGCAAATGCACATATCTGTGGTTACTCAGGTGTAAATATAAGCAAACTTAACTGATCGCTTTTTTGTTTTTGTTTGCCTGTGTTGTCTTGTTGTTGCTATTGTTTTATTCTTGGTGACTCAGTAATTGACCACTGACTATTGAGGTCAGCACGTGAATAAACGAAGAACTCAATTTAATTACTTCTTTTCTTCTTCTTTTTCTTCTATTCCTGTTGCTCCCACTTGGAATATACGTGTAGGGCATCCGTGAACTGCTTCGTTTCATTTAAGTTTCTATATCTAAGATTGTCAGTAGGACTCCTTGAACGGGGGATCAGCCCGTCGCAAGGCCGCTACCTAACACAAACACAGAATAAACACAGACAGACATCCATGCCTGGAATGGAATTCGAACCCACGATCCCAGTGTTCGAGTGAGCGAAGACGGTTCGTGCCTTAGACCCCGCGGTCACTGTGATCAGATAATTATTACTAATTAACTGAATTATGATAGGTCTGTCAGTATGGACTGAGCGTCCAGATTCAAGTCTCAGTAAGGAATTTAGGATATATCTCTTCCCGACTACTCGGAGAACCGAGATCTTGCATACTTGGAGTTTTACATTATTATAGTGGAAATGACGTCATAGTTTAATGGAAATCATAATTTAGACCCCATCAGATTGTCACTATGTTACTCGAAAACCCAAGACCTAGATGGGAGACTGATTTTGAAACGGATCTTGAAGTGAATAGCTTTTGTTAATGTGGGTTAATTTGTACAGACAGGCGGCCTGTAGGGAGGTTCTCTGTAGTTCTGAATTGCGGTTACCACAGAATTAGTTATCTGAGTTGTTATTCGGAGACGAAACTAACTCTCTTCACCCTGAGTCCTTCTCCTTTGCTCTGGGAAACACAGCTTGTCGCAGGGAATGTCATTGCATCTCGTAATTCTGGATAATTTAAGCGCATTCCCTTCTCGGCCGTACCGATGACCTTCTTATGGTCTTGGGCCATTAGAATTAGGCCTAAACACTTTTCCGATAAACATTTCAGTTTTCGTTAGGGTGGAAATTTCAGATCACGCAGTTTTCTTCGTGTTACATATATATATATATGTGTATATAAAGACACTTTGCGTGCTATTTCCGAATGCAGGGTTTAGCTGGGGATTCCAGTCGTCTAAATGTACGAAATTCAGCCTAAACTGTGAGTCCGTAATGTTCTGTTCACGTTACGAAAAGCGTTTGCTGTATGCCTCTTGTTTAATCTCAAATTTATTGTAGTAAAGACGAGCAGAAGAACCTTTCTGATATAATTTTCATTAAATCAAGTAATGCAACATGTGGCTCCCAGACTTCCTAAACGCCAGTGCTGCCATAATTGTGTGTGTTTTTATTGCTAGTGGACTGGAACTAAGTCCCTTATACTGCGGCCACTTCTGGCCTATTGTACCAGCCCCAGATGATAGGTGAGGGTGATTGTGGAGCAATTGATGGAATGAAGATTGGCAGGGGAAACCGAAGTACTCGGAGAAAACCTGCCTCAGCGCCAGTTTGTTCACCACAAATCCCACTTGACCAGACACGGGATCGAACCCAGGCCACCGCGGTGGGAAGCCAGCGACTAACCGCTTGAGCTATGAAGCGGCCTAATTATGTTAAGCTTTACAAAGAAATCTTCGGCTAATCCGCAGGATACATTGCCTGCCTGGAGCTACGTCAGAGGCATGCTGAAACCCTGAGGTGCAAAGCCGTCACCGAGAAGCACGGTGTAGCAGTAACGTTCTGCATTTGTTCCATTCTCAATCGGTTTAAGTCTGCATGCTATCCTGACTGAAGCTGTTAGTGGTTTACCACACTGTCTCCAGAAGAATAATGTGATAGTGCTTTGAAATAGGATACAATTATCTTTATCCAATTTTCTATCTATTTTTCATTTATGAACACCGCGTCTTATTCGACTCTTATAACCGTAGCTTTGAAACAGCGTCATTAAAGAATCTATCAATTATTGCATTTAATACACGAAGATCAGAGTCCAGTCTCTAGTATAATTCCTTTGCAAGCAACCGGCGCCTGTTCGGGACTCGACACTTCAGCGTCGCCGTCTACTGATTGGCACTCCCGCTTCGTATTTGCGAAATTTCGGGTTAAAATGTGACCCGAATGCCGCTTTCCTGGCTGAAGTTTTCGTGGCTCCTTTCAGATTCTGGCAAATCACGAGAGAATATTTAAAATGAGCCACGACCGTTATCTATCATTTCCTTTTCTTTTCATCATTCAGAAATCATCCCACCACGCTACTTAAGCTAAGCAGTTGATGACCGTCGTTAAATAAACCAAAAATATAAAAAAACAGTCATGATCCAGTTAATCTTTGCAGGTTCTGAGCTGGAAGTTCGTGTTCAGGCTTGAAATTTTAGCTCCTCGGTTTATTCAGACGTTTAAAGAGATGATGATAATGATGATGATGATTGTCATGACTTCAGAAGTAAAGATAACATTGAAAGGGTAAATTCAGTAACTGACTCACCAATGATGTGGAACCAAGGCCGAAATCAAACAGCAACAGAGTATTAAGGAGCAAGTCGAAATAAATTACACGTAGTATCAAAATATTTCAAACTAAAAAGCGAACTTACTTGTTGCTCGTCCATTCCGTAGGCCCTTAGTCTACGAACACCTACAAGCTTATGTAAGATTTGAGGTTTTCACAGATGTGACTATGAAAAATGCCGTATTCTGGGATGTGACTGCAGCCACCTGCTCGCGCTGGTTCCTTGCTCGCGGTTTTTTTATACCATGAAGATGGAGGCGTTACGTTCCTCCGAAACGTCGGTTTACACAATAACTACATAACGTCGTATCTCAGAATACGAATTCTTCACCTAAAAAGTTTTTTCCCTTGGCACTACAGCCCCAGTGAGCCTAGGCCTACCTCCATGAATTTCTCCGTTAGGATTTTTCAAATCTTACACATTCGGTAGGACTCCTTGGGCGGGTGATCAGCTAGTCGCAAGGCCTCTACCTGTACACAAACACAGAAAAACGCACACACACAAACTAAACATCCATGTCCTGAGTGGGATTCGAAACCACGATCCCGGTTTCCAAGCAAGCGAAGACAGTACATGCCTTAGGCCGCTCATATACAATCCCATATACAATCCCACATGCTTTAATACTAAATGTATTTTGTTGTCTGATGTTATTGTATAGAGATTTTAGTATTTCATTACTTAAACTTTTCGCTACATGTACCCCATTTGGCCACTTTATTACTGTATTGCTGTTCTCCCTGTTTCGATACTTGTTCGCAATCAGCTTCTATTCCACGTGTTATCAATCTATTAGATTTACGTTTATTACTCGCGCAAGTCGACGTTTTCTTATAGGCCCTCTTACTTACTATTTTCAGTGCTTGCTTATAATTGGCTTTGAATTAACAAGTTTCCATAGATTTCCTCTCAAAGAGCAACATCTCTTCTATTAACCAGATTTTTCTTGACGGTGCACCGTTTGGGAGAAACGGGGTGGGACAGACGGACAGAAGGACCGACGAAATTTAACGATTATATATATAATAAATTCCTATTAATTATAATATGCAAGGAAATTAAAAATTCGTGAGGAATACCTGTCTAAAAGACGGGCTACTTCAATGTAAGAAACAATTTTGGAAAATAATCATAAATAGGATGATAATATTTAAATTGAGATAAAGGTTTTATGGGATGTGACGGATATATGCCATTCAACGTTTCGAGAGAATCTACTGCTTCGATTGTCAGAGTAGAAAATTGAGGTAACAGGTTCCCCCGAAACATCGACAATTCTATATTACACTATACAGTATCCACAGAGATATTGCGTTTTCGGACTTTATCCATCGTCCTGGTTTTAAGATAACTAAGAAAAACACGACGTTTCGGAAACTGGATCTGTTTCCGTCCTCAGGTGAGGGAAAACACCTATTCTGTTGGGTCCTTTAGAAAGAGCTAGCTTCAATCACTGGACGATTTAAGTTCTCTTAAAACCACGACGATGGATAAAGTCCGAAAACCCAGTATCTCTGTGTGTTCTGCACCATCGTCAGACTCCTATAGTACTACACTATGCAGTATCCGTTCAAAAGAAAAAAGCAGTTTTAATATTGATCATTCTAAGAACCTCAAATGTTATGTAGAGAAATTAATTTTAGAGAGATGAGTGGGCTGCAGAGTGGATACAACTGAGTCAGACTAGGCGCCAACGGCGGGCATTTATTAACACTTCATGGAAAGAAGTGTAAGGAACCAAGAGACACAGTCTGACGTAAACGTTTCATTCCCAGAGAAGCGCCCTATCGCAAGTAGCCTACCTTTGAGTAAAAGCCGCTACATTGGCGTCGCCGTCTTCCAAATCCAGGATCTTCTTCTTTCTGTGGTAACTTGTAAGTCTCCTGCTGCTGCTATTCCCGACGCCCGCGACGGGTTCGCTGAGGCTACTGATGCAACTTCCGTTGCTGCTACTCCGGTCGACGCCTGTCGGCGGCGAGACGGACGGCTCGGGGCTGCTGGCGTGTCCGCCACGGTTACCGCCGAAAGGAGGCGAGCGCTGGGGCGGAGTAAATCGGGGAGAGTTTCTTCTAAATTGTGGCGCCTGCAGGTTGTTGCTGGAAGGGAGAGACGGCGTCGAGATCTGGTGCTGACTGTACCGCGCTATCAAGTGGTCCTCGTAGTGTGGGTACGCGACCCTGCTGGCGTCCACTGGAAGCTTGCAACTGTCTCTGTACTTCATCGCGATGTTCCTGTCTCCACACGGACTCTCTAAATGGTTTGAGCGATAGAGACCGGATACAGAACTGATGTTATCACAAGAAACTTCAATTTTACTGACATGCTTTATTATCCTTTCTTGAATCCTGGGACTAACAATATGGTCATGATTAAGTTGCTGGTAATGTGCATGATAATACATGTCAGTAGGTGCCCCATTGTTATGTGAGCGATGTATATAGTCCGATATTTTGTTTCCTGAGTTAACAGCATTGTTGCCATTAAACTGGCGATCACTGTTGTCTGTATTATTTGAACCATTGTTGTACCGACAGCTGTTGTTATGTAAACTAATATCTTGTGCAGTTGAGACAGCCGCTGATACAGGATTGGCTGTTGATGAAGTCATCATCATCGTCATCATCATTACGCTAAAAATTAAACAAAAACACTGAACACTGTTGATGTTCCAAAATTTAGGAGTTTATGGTCTATACGTAATATATTTATAATGTGTGCTTTGTAAGATAAATTGTTTCTTTTATTCTGAATTTAATTTAAACTCTGATATACTTATTTTAATTTAATGGCCACTGCACCGGTGCACTAGAATATAAACTAATATATGAAAATTTGTTACTTTCTACAGCTACCTACCAAGGTGTGTTCATATGAAAACGGAAAGTTGTGCTTTAGTCAATATACTATAAACGCTTATAAAAATCCTGGCACTTTCTGACACCTGTACGCCCTGAGTTTAACACCGTCCACACACGCACACACCTACACGCACACGCGGAAGATTCAGTATTTTTAACAATTAAGATAAAACAGAAACATGAAAACTTTTCATCGCGAAAGCACCATTTCTTTTCGTTTCTGCTTGACGTCAGTGTTTCCGAGGCGCCGACGTACCTGCCCACACTTCTTAAGGCAACGGAACTGAGCTCAAGATTCCCGCACATCAAAAAGCACGCGGTATCAAGCACGTTTACACACGCGTGCCGTTTCGCGTAATGCTAACTACGCATGCGTCCGCAGAATAATAACCCACCCACAAGTTACCGGTAACCAATCGGATTTCACGTCGCATAAGTTGACGTCAGATTGATCCACGCCTTTACATGTGGGACAAGGCTTTAACCAATTACCAAGTTACACTGCAGAATTAATGGGATTCCACTGTAGAGGGCCGCAGGAGAAGAATATCGCGTCCAACATCATTCATTTTAACTCCTCCTCCTCCTCCTCCTCGCCTTAGGTCCACGAAAGAGAGAGAAACGGTACGCTGCAAACATCAAAGAGTCGATTGGTCACTCTGTAAGTCGTCAAGCCTCCTCCTGGTACGGGAAACAGAGAACATTTCGTCTTAGGGCGAGGGCACATCAAGGAAACTGGCAACCGCAACGCAACCACAATTTCCCATAATTGTTATCAACCTGAGTTGAACACATGTTACTGATTGCAGTAGTTCAAACTGAGGAAACGGCAACGCAGTTCTCTCAATTTGAGCTGCACCATTCAGTACATGTGTTCAGCTCAGGTTGATAACAATTATGGGAAAATGCGGTTGCGTTGCAGTTGCAAGTTTCCTTGGTGTACCCTTGCCCTTAGTCCCGGATAAGCATCTTTGCGCAACCGGACTATCCATCGATTTCCGCACTGAAATATTTCAGCTGAACAGTAGTTCAGACAGGAACTGTAGTACCACTGAACACGTTTCTATGTACAAGCGTTCCTAAAATGTCTCGGCTGAGTAGCAGTTCAGACAGGAACTGTAGCACCACTGAACACGTTTCTATATACATGCGTTCCTGAAATGTCTCGGCTGAATAGTAGTTCAGACAGGAACTGTAGCACCACTGAACACGTTTCTATATACATGGGTTCCTGAAATGTCTCGGCTGAGCAGCAGTTCAGACAGGAACTGTAGCACCACTGAACACGTTTCTATATACATGGGTTCCCGAAATGTCTCGGCTGAGTTGCAGTTCAGACAGGAACTGTAGCACCACTGAACACGTTTCTATATACATGGGTTCCTGAAATGTCTCGGCTGAGTAGCAGTTCAGACAGGAACTGTAGCAACACTGAACACATTTCTATATACATGGGTTCTTTGCCCAACTTTGAGCGAGGTGAGCGAATGCAAGAGATTTTGTGCGTCTGAAGCTACTGACCACTGAAAGTTTACTACCGAATTTAATATCGACTCGTATTGATATAAAGTAGGCCATGTTTTGCAAGCAGACCAAAATGAATTTAATAGACTATAAAAATGAGTTGGATATGGCCCTGTAAGGGGCACGCGGTAGCGTAGTTGGTTGAGGCTCCATGATACAAGCCAGAAGGTTGTGGGTTCAAGTTCCGATGAGGTGAATTTTTTTTCAATTGACCTAATCCTTCCGGCCGCACTATGGCCCTGGGGTCGACTCAGCCTTTAACAGAAATGAGTACCAGGAATTTTCCTAGGGGGTAAAGGACGGCCGGGGCGTAAGGTTGAGAACCTTACGGTCATCTGTGAGCCGATTGTGTAGAGAAAATGTGGGAACCTCAACGTCTCACAAACGTATCGACCGCCACGTCC